AATCAAACCACACTCCCCCCCCCCCCCCCCCCCCCCTTCCTTACAAGTTGTTTCACCAACTCTGAATTATTGCCAACATGACGGGGGTGTGGAGCTGAATACTGAATTAGGTCCTGGTGTCGTAGTTGATAAGTGTACAAAGGGACTGCTCAGCCTCTGTGGAGACTTATTAAAGTCATTGAGGCCCTGCATGAGCACAGCAGTATGCCCTGACTGTCGGATCAGAGCTTTTGTCACTGCCGCACTATTCTACCATTTACTTCTCATTTGATAAGGTTCCATTTATCTGAAAGATGTGAAGAATCTAGACTCTTCTCTGGCATTTGTTTAGGTACCATTTTTTTAGAAACCGTGTTTGCCAGTGAAGAGAAAGACTAGATCCTGGGATTTCTGTAGTTCTGCTCCATGTGGTTCACCATCAGGAAGCTTTGTACTGAAAGCATGCATGTGTGCAGTAGCTCTTCTCCCACCTCCTCCCATCCCACACCCTGTCCCCAAAATACCTACGGTTCTGTCTTCCTCAAAGCACAAACCAAGTTATTGTTGTTCTAAGTAGCAGGTCTCCTGGTGAACTACGTTATTTCAATGTTTTTCGTGGTAGGGCATATATCTCTTCTCCTCAGATCGCAGATCAGCTTTAGTGGGAGGCATAAAAATGTGAGAACAGACTGTTTCCTGACAGCAGTCACTACATTTCCAAATGCTCTGGAGGACTGTCTAACTATGCAGTGGGCAGACAGAAGTGAATCTACCCAATTGAAACATCTTCTCATGATTTCTTTCTCATCTAGGCATTGACTTGAGCTCTGAAACTTGCATTTTGTGTCCATTCCAAATAATTTGCTACTGTTACAGTTACATTTTTTGGATATTTGTGTCAGCGACTTCAGCAGCCTTTGTTTAGTTGCTCTCTTTTCTTCTGTTTTTTTTTTTGTTTGTTTGTTTTTTGTTTGTTTTTTTTTAAATATATACCAGAGGTATTGCATTTCAGCCTGTTCATCACCATAGCAGTTAGAAATCACCTGGGGATGCTCCCTAGAATGAACTGTCTAGGCTCAGTGAAAGGTATTTCTCTGCAGAGGCCTCCTGCTTTGCAGCGTCCTTCCCCAGGGCCCGGAGCTGGCTGCCTTTGCACTGCGATGCAAGGTGGATTTCGATTTTGTTTTGGAACGCACAGTTACTGTGATGTGGCAGAGTCAGTGCATTTCTGGCAATAGCAATTCTGTCTAGTGCAACCCACAGGCTGCTGAAGCAATTTGTTTGTTTGTTTTCTGCTTTTATGCATAGCCTATTTCTGCTTTAAGTACATTTAGGTGGTGTGGGGTACCACAGGCTTAATTGTGCGATTTCTTGATCATGCCAATTGGTTTTACTATATTAGAATTCCCCTAGAAGTTCTGCAAGTTGCTAAAATTAGACCTTAAATATGTATGTAAGTAATCTTTTAAAGCATAATTACAGAAATGCAATTTCTCTTGCATTCCCTTCCCGTTTAGATCACAAAAGGGACACACCAGAAGCATATTTTTAGCTAATGTCATACTTAAACACCTGGGTGGGAGGTGGAGGGGAGGAAAATTTGAAGATCTTAGATTACATTATAATTAAGGGTTTAACTAGAAGGCATTTCAAAAAAAAGAATTAAAGCACTGTTGAGCTGGATCTGGAAGAGACCAAGACTCCAAAAGCCAGTCATGGCTCTAGGGCTATTATTTGTGTTGTCTGACTTCGGGTACATTCCTTCAAGGACAGAGGTATCCAGCGGTTGGATAAAGCTTTGGTTGAATGACTGAGCTCTGCTGGATGCAGGGAAGTAGGAGAGCCATATTGCTTTGGGAGGGGTATCACGTGGGGTGATACGGTTCGGTATGGCCAAACGCATCCTGGGGACAGAGCCTCTGGCAAGCCTGCAGAAGGAACAATGTCAGTCAGGAGGCTGAGAGTTTTAGAGAGAGGACTGGAGTATGGAAGGTCCCTCAACCCGGACCTCCTTAGTCTCTCCTGATTCCAGGCTATTTCACTTCTGCCAACCTTGATTTGAGAGCCCTGTACCCTTGCAATGGGTAGATGAATTTCCAATTTAGTCCTGGATTTTCAGTATCCATGTGCTTTTTTTCAGTGCTGCCAGGGCCCATCCCAGCTTAGTGAAAGCTGTTCTGCAGAATGTTCCTCGCCCACCCAAAGCACTGGTTTTCGAGTATGTGGGTTTCCAAGAGCCTGAGGCAGCACTGCAGACTGTTTTATATTTTCTAATGGCAAAAATGTGATATTTGTGGCAGTTCTCTTGGTGGTAAAAGTCAGACATTATACATCTTTAGGAAGAAGTTTTTCACTTTAAGGGTGGTAAGGCACTGGAACAGGTTGCCCAGAGAGGTTGTTGAGGCCCCATCCCTGGAGGTGTTCAAGGCCGGGCTGGACATGGCCTTGGGCAACCTGGTCTAGTGGGAGGTGTCCCTGCCCATAGCAGGGGGGTTAGAACTTGATGATCTTCAAGGTCCTTTCCAACCTAAACCATTCTATGATTCTGTGATCTTTACTTCAGATGAACTCAGCTCAAGACAGGCATCAGTTGGTGTTATGTTTTCTGGGTCTCTGAGCTCCAAAGGCCTGCTGAAAACTGAAAAAAACTTTTCCTTCCATGTTTCTCACCGTACACATGGGCATTTCTGCCTATGAATCCATCACCAGCCTAATAGATCAGAACGTGCATAGTACTAATTTTCTGTAATGCAGCAATTGGGAGATCTGCCAGTGTGTATGAAAATAAATTCAGCTGTTATGTTAAGAGTCAGTCGGTTTGCACAGCAGCTCCATTTTTGTATGTAAACAGATCATATACACACATGCATACACATATTTGTAATTTACATATACACATAGATATATACACACACAAAAAGGGTCACCTTAAATGTTGCTGAAAAATTTGCTGACACGTTTACAGTGACTGAGTTTTAGATTCTGTAACTAACAATCTCAGTGAGATTTTCCTGGAGAGTTTTCAAACCCGGTCTAGAAGTAAAGAAAAGGCGTGCTTTGTTGTTACTTGTAAGGTTTGAAACATCCAGAGTCTGATTCTGCTGGTGCTGTGAATACAAGATGGATAATACATTTTACAGTAGGAAACTTTTGTAAAGCCAAGATCCAGTCCCCTGAACTGAGGGAAATTCAGAATCATTTCAGAAAATTGATTGGGTTTTTTTTTTCTTCTAACAGTCTGGCCTAAGTTTTGCTGTGCTTTTATTGCACTTTGTTCCAGCAAAGGTTAATGAGCAGGCATCTCTGGAAAAAAAATAAAGTAATGGTCTCTTGCAAAGTATGGCTAGACAGGTATGACACTGCAATATTTCTAATTTCTAGAAATTTTTCCATCTTTGGTGTGGAAGTGAAAGAAAAAGGGAACATGTTTCAATTTAATTCAGTTTCTTGATCATCCTCTTTCATTCCACTGTAATACATGCCTTCAGTTGCCGCCTGATATGGCTTCCGCTGAATTATATTGAAGCAGTCTGCTGCTGCCCAAAGAAGGCTCTCACCTCACGTCAATATGTTGCACCACACAGATGTTATCTCCTAATAATGCCAATCAACCCTGTTTAGAAAGGGTCACCGGCTGCTGCGGGAGAGGATATGGGATGCAGTACCCCTGGAGGTGGCGTGCTAATTGTGAATGTGGCACACAGGGAGGCTGACAGCTGTGCCATGCTGCCTGCCTTGTCGCTAGCGTGACCAGGTGTCTGGGCACAGATATTCTAGGTTTGCTGGTTTTCTGACCACAGTTTTTGGGCTTTTTAAAAATGTGTTTATCTGTAGCAACCAGAAAGGTGTGCCTTCCTTGGAACTTCGGAAGTATCCCAAAGGGAAGAGACATCCAGACCAGGTCAGGGTGGTTCTACATTTACTGCCTTTGGGCTGTAGCAAGCAGAAAACTCTCACTGTAGCCCAGACAGGTTTTAAATGGAAATAGGATGTGGAATTCACTGAAGAAAGACTAAGATTTGATAGGGACAACACAGTTGAACTACTGGATAAACAGTTTACAACAATGGGGGAGGAGGTCCTCCAACGCAAAACACAGCCACTGGGTCAGGGACATATATAAGTTTTGCAGATGCTGCATGAGAAAGTAACAGTTTGTCTGCCATATGACTGCTTTTATGGTACTACACACTATCAGGGAGATTGCAGGTATGACTGGGGAAGGCTGAGCAAAAAGATTAATATTTTAACCAAAGATCTAACTGGCTTAACTGCATTTTAAATAGACATATTCTCTGCAGTGATCTTTGCAATCTAGAGGAGACAAGGAGAACTTTCAGAACTTGCAGAAATCTGCACCATTAGCAGGTATTGACCTATCAGGTAGGTCTTAGGAAGCCTTGGCCATCCCACTAGTATCCCAGCACACACAGTGCTGTCCTCAT